ACTTACTTGTAAATATGTATTTAGATCTTTTTTCCGCTTTCCCAAGAAGTCTTTATCCATGTTATTAAAGGTTTTTTTCCCAGGAAGTTTGAGCAAATTTGAAAGGTGTTCAAACTAAGTAAAGGAAATAAATACATTTTATTTCTTGTATTATATGATGCAGGTCAAATTCCGTCTTCTAACATTTTGTACTATTTGAATAATTAGACTAGTGTTCATACTTTCATGTATTAGCATAATAAATCAACTGTTTATGCAACTACATTTTGCATATAAAATTAACTCCAAGAATGAACTTTACATGGTATATTCAAACCACAGCTGTTAAAATGTGTATTAATCCAGTTATTCTTGTTTCCAGGTGCTAAATTGTAAGAATGTAGCCAGATTAGTATAGGGCACAGGGTACAGCTTTTGTCAACTGCTCTTTCTCTGTGGCAGCTGTTCAGTTTTTAGTCTTGCCAAGTTTCATGCATTTCATGTGATACTTTAACATTTGCTTTTTCCCAAGCATAATTTTGAGTTCTCATGCTTGGTGACCACAGGTTTAATGATGAAAATTTTATAAATCCTTGAACTCAGGAGTGATCACATACATTATGCTCTTAAAATAAGACTGTGTTGGTCATGCAGGTGCAGAATTCATGCATAAGCAGAATGTTGCAATACCAAACTGAAGTCATTGACCGCCTCCAATGCTGGGGAAGGAAGTGGGGCTGCGTGAAGGAAGGAAATCAAAAGTACCTTCCAAATGTAAATCACATTTAAAAAGTCAATTTTTCCAGGAATTTAAACACAAGTTGTTACGAACACTGTTGTTAGTTAACACTTAAATGTATTCAGAAAAAAGGTCCATGTCTGCTGTCACAACTGCAGGGGCACACGCTCAGGCCTGTACTGCTTGTGACATCACTCCAAGTAACACCATTGCACTAGTCGAATGGCTTCTTCTTTAATACTATTTAATGTGGTGGCCTGGCACCCCTGAAATGAACAACAAAATCGGGGACCTGGAGGAAGGCTCAGAAAGAGCCATGGTGCCTTACCGGCCGCCACACTCCTTGGGTGAAAGGGGAGTGAAGAAGGGAAAAGCAGCAACAACAGGCACACGCTATGGGCACACATTGATGGCATTAACAGTACAGACCTCATGTTGAAGTGGGTTGGCAGGAGATACTCCATCAAAAAAGCAGTTAGATCTTTACGAAAAATTAAAGGGAAACATCTCTCTTTAGTGTACACTTGGTATTGTTATAACCTCAATTTCAGTAACTAAATTCATCTTTTAACAGATAAAGTTTGAAGTTAAGCATGACAAGCCAGGCGTACGAGTAATCAGCAACCTAATAAAGTTACTTATGAACAGGTTGTTAGAAGTTACAAATTTACTTACTTGGTGTACATTTCTGATAAGGGTTGTGTGTGTGTGTGTGTGTGTATTAATTTAATTGTTTGTCCATTTGCAATAGCTACATGTTAAATGTTCAGTTGTCACACAAATCTGATTGTTAACTTTTTCTTGCCACAAATGCTACCTGATGGACTAACAAATTCCCGATATTGTTCTCGATATTCACCCATACAAGACCATTTTAAGTGAAATACTTTGTTATGTAATCTGCCATATGAAAATTGAAAATGCTAGAATATTTTAAAATAAAAATACTTAATTGCTAGTTATATTAATCTCACTGTTATATATCCATCTCACAGATCTGGATTAAACATAAAACAACCTATACCAGTGTGAAAAGGAGCTGAATATTAAATAGTTGGGGTGGGTGGGTTTCCGTATGCATGGCAGGTTAAGACACCAGAAAGTACTGGCACATCAGAAAGCTGGCAGGAACTTTCCAACAACCATATTTAACTTGAGTGCACTTATTATCATGAGTGAAATTCCCATGGGACAGGTGGGATTGAATCTGAGTGTTAAAAGAATTTAACCCTAGATTCTGTGGTTTCCCAAGCTTCCTGAAACTTGGCAGGTTAAATAAGACATGAGAACAGCAGGAATCAGTGGGGTTAGAGAACTGTCAGGCAACAGAAGTCTTCAGCTACTGAGAAGGGATAACTATTTCTTGTTTCTGTGTAAGATTTTTGCCCTTGAAACTGGTCCTGATATTGCACTAACACTGCTTTGGAACTTTGTAATTCCTTGAACACCCTGCCTTCATAGCAGCACTGGCTTCTACAACACTGGCTGGATCCTCTGATGCAGCAGCATCTTCTCAACCACATGCAGCTACACATATTAGCACTGATAACACCAGTCAGAATGGGGGAGGGTCCTTCAAAGAATTATGTATCTGAACCGCTAGGTCTCTCTGTTCTACAACACTACCCAGGGCCCTACCATTAATTGTATAAGTCCTGTTCTTGTTTACCTCACATTTATCCAAATTAAACTCCATCTGCCAATCCTCAGTCCTCTGAGCAAGGGAGACAGGGTGGTTAAGGCGGCATTTAGCACACTTGCCTTCATTGCTCAGACTTTTAGAGTATAAGAGTTGGAACATCATGTACAGGTTGTATAGGACGTTGGTGAGGCCTCTTCTAGAGTACTGTATGTACTTCTGGTCACCCTGTTATAGGAAGTATATTATTAAACTGGACCAGGTCCAGAAAAGATTTACCAGGATGTTGCCGGGAATGACCGTTTGAGATATAAAAATAGACTGGAAATGCTGGAACTTTTCTCACTGGAGTGTAGGAGATTGAGGGGTGACCTTATAGAGGTTTATAAAAACATGAGGGTCATAGATATGGTGAATGACATGGGTCTTTTCCCTTGGGTACGAGAGTTCAAAATTAAAGGGCTTTTTTTTTTTTTAAGGTGAGAAGAGATATTTAAAAAGGACACGAGGGGCAACTTTTCTTTCTTTTACACACAGTGGTTTTTGTGTAATATGAACTGGCAGAGAAAGTGGTAGATGCAGGTACAGTTACAATGTTTAAAAGACATTTGGATAAGTTCACAAATAGGAAAGGTTTGGAGGGATACGGAACAAGTACAGGCAGGTGGGACTAGTTTAGTTTGGCAACATGGTCGGCATGGACTGGTTGGACCGAAGGGTCTTTTTCCATGCTGTGTAACTCTGTGACTCTATATACACTAAACAGAAATCAAGGTGTCTTCATACCACCCAGCAGCATTCAGTAACCAAAAGGGACTTCACTCAATCAATGTTCAGCTGATACGTAACAACCAAAAGTTGAGATCATGAATATATACAGGAAGTTGTAATGATGTCATTTTTCTGCACAGTCCCATTTTGTATATTTACATCTCTAAGCAGTATTACTAAATAGCTCACATCCAAGGATGGTAGCAGGAAGAAGACGCTGTGAAGTGAATGTTATAAATCATGGGTTCTGTCTACAGAGTTGTAGCGAATACTGGATAATCCAGAAATTCAAAGCCACGGTGTTGTCAGAAATATAGGATTAATCGGTTAAGGTAGAAAGTTAATCACCATCTACTTACTTACAAATGCAAGTTATGTACATTTTGTTCAACTATGCATCTAACTTTGATTATTTGCATTGGGGCAATAAAATCCAATCTTAAAACATTCACTGTTTATAAAGTTTTGACATGTACTTCTAATAAATTAATGTAATGTCTTTTGCATGAATGCACATATCAATTTCTACATTCCAAACAAATGGTACGCAGAACAATGCCTGAAATTCAGTCGAGATCCAATTCAGTAAGATACAAATGTCAAAGGATTTTACAAAAATAAAGTCTTTAAATATGAAAGGTGTAGAATCATAAAATTCAAGTGGCAACAGATAGTTCAACCTTCAGAAAAAGTGTAATATCTGCAAGATAACATGCTCCCAAGTAGTAGTCTGAACAGCCAGTTTTAGAATATTCCCCAAATATCTCAGTGGGGTAATATACGCAAGTTTTTCCATTTTGAGACAAATTATAATTCATGACTCATACTCAAAAGAATCCACACCATGTAGAAGTTTATTTTTTGGTACTTTTTAATAGAACAAAGCTCTTCTTTAATGATAGTGGTGCTTGTGGGTTGGTGGAGGGAGGAATAGGAGATTGAGAAGAAAGAAAAATCAAGGATTGACAATATAAATGTTCTACATATCTGAAACTGATGGACAATTTTACAAAATGGTGTTATGAAAACTTCTCTACTGTCTTTGAAGTTTCAAATAATAATTCAGCAATACTCATTGGAACAAAACAAAAATTGTCTTTGGAGTCTCAAAAATCTGCAATACATAATTAGTGATCTTATTGTAGCATTGCAAATAGTATAATCCTAAAATTTCTTATAGCCAAAAAAAAAAAATAAGAAACTGCTACAAAACAATTTTCAAAATATGCTTTTACCTGCTCAGTTATCCGCATGTGAAAGTCATGGAAATCACTATAGCGACGATAGGTCTTCCACACATCATCACTACCATCTGGATTTCTTCTCTGAACAGTGATTGCATACAGAGCATATGTCTTGCCATGGTCATTACATACTCCTGCCATAGGATATGGTTCATAGTCAGCATGAACTAGTTCACAATGAAAGGAGAGGAAAATGGGAAACAAACATGGATGAAAATGGGACAGGAACATACTGAGTGAGGAGAAATCAAGACAGACAATAGTTTGAAGGTAACTCTGGAATGACAAATGAATGAAAGAATAAAATGTTTTCCATGTGTCTTTATTTTACAGAGAAGCCAACATCAAACATTTCAATTGGCACACTGTCCTTTCAGCTCTGACTCTTGCGTCGGAAAACAAAATTTTTTTTTTGGTACTGTCAAATTTTGCTAGTTGTAAAGATCTTATGATAATTGATTTGGCTAGTTTCAGTCTGGCTTCTCCAAATTTGAGCCCACACAGAATGCGGTCTTTAATTAAAGATAAAATTCTTAATTACTTAAAAGTGGGTACAGGTTGGCTGCTGTGAGAAATGGGAAATTTCACTGCGACAAAGTTATTTAGGCTAGGATAGGATTGAATAAACACCTATTAAGTGGTTTGACATACTATCTTTAACCTAGGATGGCAGTATGCCAACATTAAATGAGCAAAATTTCAAATTCCCAGGACATCCTTCAATTCAAAAAGGAAATTTTCATTTCACTTAATTAGTACATAGATATTGTACGAAATGTTTTTTCGCCAAAATAAGTACGATGCTGGATTAAAACAAGGATTTATGTAACTTTTTTCAGAAAACAGATTTAGTTTTGTCAAAAGTATTTTGTGAACAGTGTTTGATTGAGGATATTAAATCAGACAGAAAATTGAATAGATAGTAAAATAAGAGTTTAGAAAATTGGTATATTTGTGTAATGTGGGATTCAGGTGGGGACTTTTAAAATCTTTCCCTTTTCAAAATTTATATTGACATTGAAAAGGAGGTCACATCCTCTGTACGGTATTTTAACATTGATGATACTGCCCATCTTTTTAATGCAGATACAATACTCTGTTTTTGCATTTCGGAAAACCATTAGATTTAAAAAGATTCAAGTGCTCAAATCAACTGAAAACTAAGTAGAACCACTTCTCAGAAAAGGTAACAGAAGATGTGCAGATAGATAGTAAAACAGATTATGAAAAATGAACAGAAATGTAAACATATAAAGGAGGAATGATAATTAGAAACAGGTACAGCCACATTAAACTGAACAGATCATTTGGAACTATATGTATTTGGCAGGTCAGTCAAATTACTGCACAAATTGAACATTTTTCTTTAAATCACCTATTACTATTCATTGCATATGGAAGTAAAGTTTTTTTCCTATTACAATTACACATTTATGACTGCTAAATTTGAGAATCTGGTTTGACAAGGAAATAATTTGTGGCTCCAGAAGAATTCTATTGACTTTTTAGCAACTACAGTGAATGATTTGTTTCTACCAACTGATCCCTCAAGCATGTTCTTTGGGAAAATCATTGGTAGAGACGCACATCACTATTGCTTGGTATTTTCCCTTTTTTATAAAAAAGGTATTCAGACCACTGTTCTTCTCTTAACACACAAGTGCTTAGTCATCAAAGCAGCATGCGTGGCTTCAGTTGATACAGCTGTTCTGTGACTCATGTAGCTTCATGTATGCAACTAATGCACCTGCCATATTTCTGAAAGAGCTCTGGCTAGGTGGCACAGATACCGAGAACAATTATCCAGAGAATTCTGCTTTCACTCAAATTGATATTTGTAATATTACTTACCTGTGTCACTAATAGATACTTGCAGTTGCAAAGAATCTTCAGAGCTGGCATTTGAAAGGTCATCTAGAGACTACAAAATAAAAATATAGCGCATTCATTTCTCAATGTGTATTTTGATGCAAAGTCTTTGATGTAATAAAATGCACTATTTGTACTTCACGTGTATTACAAAATAAAAATCTGATACAAACCACAGAAGGATATTAGGACGCATGTCCCGAAGCTTGGTCAAACAAAAATTCTCAACTATTGGTAGAGCAATTAAGACAGGGAATGCTCAAATCAGAATTAGCTGAGCACAGATTGTAAGATAGTTGGACTGAAGATGATTGGAGAGCAGGAGAGGAGAAGAACATAGGAACAGGAGCAGGCCATTTAGCCCTTTGAGCCTGTACCACTGTTCAATGAGATCATGGCTGATCTGTGGCCCAACTCCATATTCCTGCCTTTGGGTCTTATCTCTTAATACCTTTGCTTTACAAAAAAATTATCCATCTTAAATCTAACAACTGCTTTAGCATCACCTGCCATTTGTGGAAGACAGTTGCAAATCTCAACCTACACTGTGTGTAGGATGGTTTCCGATCATTTACCCCGAGTGGTCTGGCCCTAATTTTTAGACTATGCGCCCTAGTTATAGAATTACCAACCAGTGGAAATTGTTTATCTTTATTTGACCTGTTTTTTTCCGGATAACATCTTGAAGACTTTGTTTAACTCACCCTTTAACATTTTAAATTCTGGAGAAATCAGGCCCAAATCATAAAATCTCTCCTCATTACTTAACCCCTAAAGTCTAGGTATCATTCTTGTAAACCTACGTTGTGCTCCAAGGCCAAATATATCCTTCCTAAAGTATGGTGCCCAAATCTACTCAGAGTGGCATCTAACCAGAGTTTTGTATAGCTGCAGCGTAACTTCTGCATCCTTATACTCCAGTCCTGTATATGTAAAGGCCAGCATTTCATTAGCCTTTATTTACTGTTTACAGATCAATGCACCAGTACACAAGTCTTTTCAGACATCCACTGCATTCACCTTCATACCATCGAAAAAGTATCCTGCTCAATCCTCTTTTGGTCCAAAATGGATAGACTCCAACTTGTTACATTGAATTCAATCTGCCACAGTGTTGCTCATTCACCTAGTCTATCAATATCACTTTCCAATTTTCTGTCATCATCTACACTGTCTATGATGCTTCCTAACGTGGGGTCATCAGTAAATATGTGTATTTGACCTTTTTTTTCTTTAATCATTCACGGGATGAGGGCGTCGCTGGCTAGGCAGCATTTATACCCATCCCTAATTGACAGTTAAGAGTCAACCACATTGCTGTGGGTCTGGAGTCACATGTAGGCCAGACCAGGTAAGGATGGCAGTTTCCTTCCCTAAAAGGACATTAGTGAACCAGATAGGTTTTTCCAACAAGCAGCAATGGAGTCACGGTCATCATTGGATTCTTAATTCCAGATATTTATTGAATTCAAATTCCACCATGTGCCGTGATGGGATTCGAACCCTGGTCTCGGAATTAACAGTCCAGCGATAATACCACTAAGCCATCGTCTCCCCTTTCTGTACCATTATCCCAGTTGTTAGCAAATAATGTGAATAATTGAGCCTCTTATATAGATCCTTGTGGGATACAACTGTCACATCCTGCCAATTTGAGTACCTACCCATTATCCCCACTTTCTGTCATCTGCTACTCAAGTAATTTCCTAGCCACGACCATGATTTGCCCTCAATTCTGTGGGCTTCTACAATAACATTTTCAAATGCCTTCTGAAGGTCCATATAAACAACATACATAGACATTCTCCTGCCCACTAGCTTAGTCAGTTCTTCAAATAATTCAATGATGTTTATCAGGCATGACCTACCTGTCATGAAACTATGATTTCTTGCCCTGATTAACTGAAAATTATTACCATCTTCAGAGGTCTTGGAATGATTTGAAAACAAGGATGAGAATTAACCAGGAACCAGTGTAGGTTATGCAGAGACTTAAAGTGGGACATGATGCAAGTAAGAACATTAGCAGATTTCCAGAGAATCTCAATTTTGGAGGGAAGAATAAGGTTAGATGTTCACAAATGTGAATGAGTCATCAGGTCTGGAGATGAAAATAGGTCTTGGTGATGTACTGGACATAATCAAAACCTCACCTTGGGGTTCAATACACAGTAAGGCTGTCACCAGTCTAGCTTAGGCTCAGTAGTTGCCAAGGAGAAGGCTGGAATGGGTAGCAGGAAACAGTACACAGTAGAGTGGAAAGGCAACATCTTCTATCTATCCGATATTTAATTGGGGGAAATTTCAGCACATCTATCACCAGATGTTGGGCAAATAATCTGCCAGTTTCAGCAGTCCAGCAGTTTTACAGCAATACAGAGGTTGAGAGAGGTGGTGGTGGTGAGGTAGAGCTGAGCGGTGTCAGTTCACGTGAAAAATAATGGAACTTCTTGGATGATGTCGCCAAAGATAGCGTGGAGAAATAGAAAAGGAAGAAGGTCCAAGCATATATTCTTAGGGGGAAAATCCAAGATAACTCTGCGGGAGCAGATAAAGTCATTGCACATGATACTGTGGCTTCAATTAGATGGAAGTGTGAAACCAAGCAAGTGCAGTACCACCCAGCTGGATGACAATTGAGAAGCACTGGAAAATGGTTCAGACAGGTTGATAAAGACAAAATTTATACTTTGTAGTCATATAGGAGGTCACTTGTCACTTTAATAAGACCAATTCCTAAATAGGGGTGGAAATCACTGGAGCAGCAATTTTCAAGGATGGGCAAGATCAAGGGCATTTCATTTCCAGGAACAGATGACAGCAGATGTCATGAAGATAGGGATAGTTGCTGAAGAGAACAAGTAAGAGCATCAGTTAACTTGAGGACCAGGAAGGGAATCTGAAAATAAGCAGCTTAGTGGGATTAGAGTTGAGGGAGTAGGGAATTGTTCACAGACAAGGTAATCTTAGATGTTAGGATAGGGAATAGGAAAGAAACAAGCAAATTCTAAGTTGAGGGAGCAGTTGAAGTTTGATAATAATGGACTAGGCGAAGGAAAGGAAGTGGCAGAAGCAGCTGATGGTTACTATGCAAACACAGAAATTCCTGGAAAAACTTAGCCTGTCTGGCAGCATCTGTGGAGAAAAAGGAGAGTTACTGTTTTGGGTCCAGTGACACTTCTTCAGAATAAGAGTTTTGAGGAAAGGTCACTGGGTGTAAAACGTTAACGGAGTTGAGTTCTTCCAGCAATTTCTATTTTTGTTTGTTATTTCCAGCATCAGCAGTTCATTGGATGTTTTTGATTGCCACTATGATTGATACTACCCAAAGAAAGTCATGAGTTCTTTGCGCTGATTAGAGGGAAGAGCAAAGGAGATTTGGCGGGGGGGGGGGGGGGGGGGGGGGGGGGGGGCAGAGGAAAAAAAGAATACCTTCAAATGATAGTGACTGACATTATCTTTGCCTTCCTGGAACAGTGAGCAGTTTTAACATTCAAGGTGCAGGATCTGATATATGCACCAGATGCTTTAGCTACACTTAGCAATCACTATCTCAACAATTGTCTGTCATTTGCATTTAAGTCCTCATCTTAAGGAAGTTGAGAAGAGAGCCATACCAGACGAGCAGCAACCTGGTATAAAGGCTTTACTGGGGAGGACAGAAACATTAACTTCTACTTACATAACACCTTATAACTCAAATGAAAATCCAAAAACCGTTGGCAACTGTTAGATCAAGTAAAATCAGAAATTCCATCACAGGTTTACAAACTGCACTGCTTAATAAAGAGACTCAATATTTCAGCCAGGACAGTTACTCTTGTCTAATAATCTCAATAGGTGATTATAAACCTAATCTTGCAAACACTTTGAAACAGAAATCAAATCATCAACGACGCACTTATACAACACAATTTTTGAGACTTATTTAAAATGGACCAAGTTGACATCAATAGAACATTAAACATCGAGATCAAATCTGTCAAAACAGGAATTAATCGATACTCCCAACAGCACATTTTTTGAAACTTTTCTTTCCATTTAATATTTTGCATCATTATATTGTAAATATCATTAAATTAAAACGCATAAAAGTTTTGAGAAAATCTGCGAAGAAGCAACGGATATTCAAATGGGTTAAATTACAGAAACACACTGACATTCCATACAGCTATGGACTGTTCATAGCTTGAACTGTTTTGTCACAATGAAGGAAGGGAACTTATTATGTAAGTGGGCATCCTTTCCAGGCATGGAACTGAGCCAGAATAAACTAATCTTTAGATATTAAAACACCTGCACAAGCACTCTAAATCTAAGAGCCCAGTAAGTAGGCATCAAAACATAAAAACAGCAAAAATAAACACCGTAGCTTAAGTTTGTGGTTGACAGATGGAAATTAGTCTATTTCATGATAGAAGCAAAAATTTTTGAGAGATTATCAATTAATGACCAAGATTATCCAACAGTCTGTAGCACTTACCGAATTTAAACTGCCAGTTGGGGAGCCATTGAAAGACTCTAGAGGGAAGAAAAGCTCAGAATGTAAAAAAAAAAATGCTTTGTGAAATAAACTGAAGGACAGTAGGTCATGTACTTAAAATAAAAATTCAAAAATACAATTAAACACTAACAAAGGAAAATGACCAAATCGTGGCAAATTGCCAATGTTCATGCTATAATACCCAAAGGATTCCTACTAAAGCAAATGCAGGCACCTGCAGGCAGCCAAGAACAGGGCAGCTGTGCACAAGAGAATAGTTGGTCTAAGATATAAGGCTCATAATTTCAAATTATATTGTCTACTTTAACATTGGTATTTAAATTATGATGCAAGACAGTGTTCTGAAAGCAATTTCCTTCGTTTTATTTTCCTTTTATCTGAAATTGGTGTGGGACTGTCTGTTAAGAAATTGTTTTCCATATTCAACTTGTTTTATATATCTATATTTCTGAAGCAATAAGTGTTTTAAAAACATGTTAGTTTTGTCAAATGATTTAATTTTATGCTGGATTTCAAAATCAAGATGGTGTAGCCCTTTTTATACAAGTACATTACATACAAATGTGACAAAGCTATCAGTAAAAAACATCAAAGGTTAATACCAATTAATAAATCAAATTGGTTTTCAATAATAATACATGTTCATTGTAGAATCAGCTTATGTACTTGTTGCAAAATTTGAAACAGCATAAAACACATGGTGATATTCAAAAACATCATGCTGACTGGGCAAACAGAATTGAAGACAGATAGGTTATAAAATGCAGAAAGGTGAATCACATGATTTTGCTAGAAGAAACAAGGAAATCTGGATTTCCCCCTGGTTTGTTTGGCAACCTACCATAACTTCGAGAAATTAAGTAGTACTTGATTTTTCAACACATGGGTATGGTTATTTCAAAAAACTAAATAAAAGAGCTAAGAAATCACATCTTTAAAAGACCAAATTATCTTCTTCACCTTAATGTATTTCTTCCGGGCTACATGTACAAAGTAATTTTACATCAAATTAGAATATATCCTGAAAAGTAACATCAAAAATTGCTGGCCCTACAAAATTAGTGACATTCCATAACAAGATGAGTCAATTTTGTTCACATGAAAACAATCCATTCTGAGGGCACAAAACAATGGAAAATTTCCTGTAGTACTTTTCCTTCATCACTAGAGGTAAGTAGAAAGCTTTATAAAACACCCACCACGCAAACAATGCAACAAAATTTTTGGCAAATTGCCAACCTACGTCTTGACCTTCCATCAACTCTAATTTGATAGATGTTTGAAATTTCCTTTGATTCTGTTTAAGATTTCTTGGATCTCAGGTCTGGAAAGTGTTCAACTCAAAAGTAGCTCTATAGCATGGCCATTATAAACACCTGAAATAATCAAATCAGTATAGAACAAAAAATGTCTTTCAATAGTAACCAGAGTTTAACAGTACATTAGATAATGGACGGAGCATCAATTTCTAAATTTAAAATCCTATCTGTCCTTAAATTGACATCATGCAAGCCTTATTCTGAACAACTGGTCAAGTGACAGAATAATGGATACTGTTTCTGCTCATTTCATCTCTATCCATTTCCCCACGTTTGTTGTATTCATTGCATACTTTTAAAAAAAAAGTGTAGGAACTTCCAGCTATGAATGTTTACATACCAATTACTTAAACAACTTCTAAGTCCACCTTTGAAGGTCAAATCTGCACGCTGAAATTATTCATTTGTCAAAGTGCAATTAGGCTTATTTGGTGCACACTATACAAGCACTACGTCCTATAATTATTCAAATGAGCTTACAAGAAACATTTCTAAGCAGTAATTGGTAATACCTTCATAATTTACAGACTTGTTAGCACCTACAAGATATCATCACAAACTAAATATTGACAGAAGTACTGCACTACAACCTTCTGCATGCAGATTCATACATTACAACATTTTTAAAATGTTATAACTTATACAAGTATTAGTAAAATTTGCTTGGGCATGGTGTAAATGTAACACAGATACACGAAATTTCAATTAACTACTCCTAATCAACCTCTTGATACTATAGTATCGAAAGTGATAGAGCCAGAATATACAAACACAGGAGTAAAGACACACAACTGCAGTCAGTTATGAAGACTGAGTGTCCATTGTGATTCTTGCTACAGTCACTATGGGAATAATCATGCATCCTATTCTACTGGTTATTAAATTGTTCATCACCATTCAGAACATATGGTAGAAATGCAAAGTTTTAACGCAATCACTTAGCTCTATGTAATGCACACTGCAGCTACTGTTCAACGTACATGTTGTCATGTTCTGAAGCTTCACCAGGTTCGCATCACATTTTTAGATATGCCTGGTGCTGTTCTTGCACTGTTGTTCTACATTTCTTTATTTAACTAGGTTTGGTCTGGCTGACAGCAACAGAACAGTGAGGATACATCAGGTTATAAAGTTACAAATCGTGGTAGAATAATAATCCTGCAGCCAATAGAACACAGGGCTCATGAATGTCCAGTTTTGAGCTGCTAAATCTGTTCTGAAACAATCCCATTTAGCACAATGGAAATGCCATGCAACCTAATGGTGGATACCCTCAATGAAAATTAAACTTTGTCACTGTACTGCAGTAACTCCTACCAATACCATCATGGATAGATGCCTCTACTACAGGTACGTGCAGGAAGACAAGGTCAACTAGCTTTCTCTCTCCTATTGGTTATTTCATTATCTGCCCATTCTGGCAGCTGTGCTCTTTAGGATTTAAGGGGAGGCCTGGATCTGGACTCTGTCACAAAAGGAAACATCCTCACAAGCACACTGAGGGTTTTAGATGTTTCAGATTTCCTCTTGTTCTCCTAAATTACAGTAGGTACAGGTTAAAAAAGCTCAACCTTTCCTAAGATAACACACTCACCTTTGAAATCAGTCAATTGAATCTTCTCTGAACTGCTTTGAATGTAATGCTATCCTTTAAAATATGGAAGCAAAAACTGTATACAGTATTTCAGATGTGTTGTCACAAAGACCCTGCATAACTGAAGCATAACTTTCCTACTTTTATTCATGATTCCCCTTGCAATAAAAGCCAATATTCCATTTGCCTTCCTAATCAAAATAAAGCTTTCATCATTCATACACCAGAGCACCGGTGGTCTTGGCATAGCGGTAATAACTAGTTCTGGACCAGGATGTCTCGGTTCAAGTCCAACCTGCTCCAAATGCGCATAACATGTCTGAACAGGCTCATGAGAAATGTGTACATCATGACACCCAGATCTGTCTGTAGAGTTTTGCAGATTCTATTAATTCAAACAATACACTAATTTTTAATTTTCTTACAAAGTATACAAGCTCAAATTTCCACTCAATACACGCCATCTACCAAATATCTGCTCACTCATTTAGCCATTTTTAAAATACTAATGGAATCTGGGTGTCCCAGTTGGTTGGCCCAGTATTTATTACCCATTCTTAGATGACCTCAAGAAGGTGGCAGTGAGCTGCTTTCTTGAGTTGCTCAGTACTTTTGGTTCAGGTAGATGCGCAATGCCACCAGGGAGAAAATTCCATTGATTTTGACTGAGTGACATTGAAGGGATGGTGATACATTTCCAAATCAAAACAGTGAATGGATTGGTGAGGAAATTGCAGTTGGTGGTGTTCTGTTACTCTTGTTGTTCTCAACGGTAGTGGTGATGTGTGTGGAAGATGCTGTCTATGCAGCCTTGGTGAACTTCTAACATGCACTTTATAGATAAAACACACTCAATGCCACTGAGCATCAGTGGAGGAATTCACGTCGGAAGTAAAAACAAGAAGGCAGATTACTACCTGAATGGCTGTAAATTGGGAGGGGAGTGTGCAGCAAGACCTGGGAGTCCTTGTGCACCAGTCGCTGAAGGTAAGCATGCGGGTGCAGCAGGCAATAAAGAAGGCAAATGGTATGTTGGCCTTCATTATGAGAGGTTTTGAGTACAGGAGCAGGGATGTGCTGTTGCAGTTGTACAGGGCCTTGGTGAGACCACACCTGGAATATGGTGTACAGTTTTGGTTTCCTTTTCTGAGGAAGGATACTCTTGCTCTCGAGGGAGTGCAGCGAACGTTTACCAGGTTGATTGCGGAGATGGCGGATCTGACATATAAGGAGAGATTGACTAGGTTGGGATTGTTTTCGCTAGGGTTCAGGGGAATCTCAGAGACTTATAAAATTCTAACAGGACTAGACAGGATAGATGCAGGGAGGATGTTCCCGATGGAGGGTGTGTCCAGAATCAGGTGTCTCAGTCTGAGGATTCAGGGTAGACAATTTAGAAGGGAGATGAGGAGACATTTCTTCACCCAAAGAGCGGTGAGCCTGTAAAATTCATTACCACAGGAGGTAGTTGATACCAAAACATTGAATGTATTCGAGAAGTGACTAGATTTCGCACCTGGGGTGAATGGGATCAAAGGTTACGGGGATAAAGCAGGATTAGGCTATTGAGTTGGAGGATCAACCATGATCGTGAAGAATGGCGGAGCAGGCTCGAAGGGCTGAATGGTCTGCTCCTATCGTCTATGTTTCTATGTAATTCATCTTAATGGTTGGTTGTGCTAATCACACAGTCTTACTCCTGGATGGTGTCTAGCTTCTTTAATGTTGGTGGAGTTGTATTCCTTGAGGCAAATGTAGATGGTAAATGGGCTTTGGGGTGTCAAGAGGTACATTACATGCTGCAGAATTCCTAGCTCCTGAACTGTTCTTATAGCCACAATATTTACACTGCTAGTTGAGTTTAATTTCTGGTCAACAGTGACCCCAGGATGTTGATAGTGATGAATACAGTGATGGTGATGCCATTGAATACCAAAGGACAATGGTTTGATTCTCTCTTTTTGGACATGATCAATGCCTAGCATTTGATAGCTTGAATGTAACCTACCTCTTGTCATCCAAACCTGGAGGCTGTCCAGGTTTTACTGTATTCCACAGTCATCAGCAAACATCCCCACTTCTGACCTAATGTAGAGGTAAAATCACTGAT